TTTATATGATGTCAGCGGTAAAGAATGTTTTTTTATTTTTTAATTAAAACGGTATCTTGTAATTGACACATCTCCTGTTGAGTTTATTGTCAGATCCATCAAAGGAAACGTCAGAGAAATCACGTCGGAGCAAATAATATCTTGATTAAAATTCTTTCCTTCTTTTTCTGTAAAACACGTCTACTTCACTGTTTTCTCGGATTCACATTTATTTTATTTCAAAGTCTATACACAAACATTATCAGACGTATTTCTATAAATATAAAAGATTTTTAATATATATAAGATTTTTATCACACTAAATTTTATACATAATACACTGGTTCATAGAATAATTTTATTTTCAATACTTTTTATATTCATCTATTTTGTTGTATCTTGTTCAGTACTAAATGATCTTTTTTTAAGTTTTACACGACGAAATTTGTTTCATTTAATTATTTTTACTGATTTCCAATTTCTTTTTCTTTTGAATAAGTGAAGTATACAGGACAAACAAACATTGATTTATTTTCGTCGAGCCCACTCCAAATTTCTCTCGAAAAAATTATCTTGATCTCTGTCTGCAGCTTACATTGTATATAAATAGACCGCGAAAATGGAAAACATTCCATTAATATATATATATATATATATATATATTTATATATATACATTTATATAATATACATTCTCATACAAGACTTATTACTTCTAGGTACATCATGAACTTTTTTGATAAGCGCAGTTATTTGCAAATTTTGATCAAAAATCAATTATTAATTGCAAACAAATACATTAATTGCAAAATAAGTATCTTATTTAATTTATTGTTTTTTTTTTTAATGCAATACATTTGCAATTTATTGGTAAATTTGAAATATTTGGCGCAAATAACTTTTCTTTTAATTCTGGTATATTACTGAATTTATTATCTATATACACAAGTCTTAAAAATGAAGCAAATTGAAAAAACAGCAACACTAATATTTACTAAAAATCTATAATCAAACTGTAAAATATTATTCAAAAATGATTAACTTTCTGTAGAGTAAGTTATAGTAATCACAAAAATTTTTGTATATCTTAACGTTTCATAGATTACTGAACATTTTGCACCTTCCACAAAATGTGTGTATGTGTATGTACGGATACAATTTTTATATATCTTTACGTTTCAAAACTTTCTGAATATTTTGGCAAACATTAGAAAAAAAATATGTATGCGTGTGTGTGGATACAATTTTTACGTTTGATAGATTTCTAAACATTAGGCCGTACTTTAGAAAAAATGTGTGTGTGTGTATGTGCAGATACAGTTTTTAGGTTTCATATATCTAAACATGTGTGTGTTTATGTTTATGTGTCGATACAATTTTCATATATATTTACGTTTCAAAACATTCTGAACCTCTTGGCATACATTAGAAAAAATGGATGTATGCGTGTGTGTGTGCGGATACAATTTTTATATATTTGTTTCAAAACTTTCTCAACATTTTGGCATATATTACAAAAAATGTTTGTGTGTATGTATGTGTGAATACAATTTTCTTCTCGACGATTTTGATCAACCAAGAATCATCCAATTTGAATGATTCAAAAAACATTCGATTCTTATTTTTAAGAAAAACTAGTTTTTTTCTATTGTTATTTTTAACGTCCTGTATGGTAAGTTATTTGTCTTAAATTCAAATTTTTTTTTTTTGCACATTTTCATAATAATTAATTTATAATTCTCAAAAAATCAAGCTTATACTATAGCCCTTTTTTTAAATTAACAAACTACAAAAATATGTATTAAATCGATTGATTGTGTTGTATTATTAACACGACTATGAAAATTAAAACTAAACTTCTTTTCAAATGGTAAAACACAATTTAATAATATAATTTGCATTCACTAATAAAGCACCAAAAATGTAACAAACTTGAACAGTTTCACAATGTAATAACTTTTAGATTGATACATTTGAGCATATAATTTGTCAAAAATTGGGTTTGGATTAAGTCTCACATACTAAAGTAATTCTCACTTGAATTTTTACTTTTTTCCATTTTACAGAAAAAATCATTAACAATTGAAAATATATTGATTTTTATTATTTCTACTACTATAAGAATAATTACTCCGTTGCTTGTTCCAACAAGAATTAGAATAATATGTTACTTTTCTTTTTTGGTTCAAAATTCAAATAAATATTTTCAGAGAATTCAATTTAACATTTTCAATTTAATCATTTTAGCAAATTGTATTAATAAATTTTTGAAAAAATTTATTGTAATTCTAGAAGAAATAATATTTGAATTAATTATCAATTAATCAAACACTCACATACACTTCTGTAATTTTATTTTTAATTAACAATCGACACAATTATGGAGTTAATCAGTTGATTAACTTTTGTTATTACACAGAATGCAGTACTAAAAATATGCTTCAAATCACCAAATTAGTCAAATTTTATATAATTTATCATTTTCTCTAAAAACATCTCTTTTGACCGGTCTAAATTATATTTGCGTATTTTCGCCCTTAATTCTGTGTTGATTTTTGATGTCCCAGAAGAAGTTTGTGTGAATGGTTGTGTTTCGGTGTATATGTTATCAACGCGCAAAGAGAAGAAACACTTTTGTCAATTTTAGTTAAAATGAAAATGAAAAAAATACAATTATTGTACAGAGATATTAATTTTGTACATTTTGAAATAAAAAATGTCAACTTTGGATACATCAAATTAATAAAATACACAAAAAATAAAAACTTTATGTTTCGACACTTTTCTCCAAAATCCTGAATTTTCTCCTTCCGAAAAATGGACTTCCGAAACTTTTATCGTACTTTGTATAATTAAAAAACATAACTAATTATTTTGTGAGAAAAAATTGATACAAAAATAATAAAACACATTTTTTAATTAGTGAAGATATAGTAAGTGAAGATATAAAAGTGAAAATTGTACTTTAGTTAAAAAAAAATTAAGAATTTATTTAAATTCCATGCAAAATTTAAATATATCAGACTATCATATTAATTGCATATCAACAATATTTTATTGATTTATTTAAAGTAGAAAATAAAGAATTTAATACTGACCTTTTAATAAAAGTCTCCAACGATCATCTAAAATATCTATTAAATTAATAAATTTATATTTTAAACCAAAATCCAGAAACTATCATTTATTATCATAATTTTATTATACGATTATGTCAAAGTATTTTACAAACTTTCATATATTACATTATTCATCTTATTAATATATTATTAATGTAACTAATTTGTTAACAATATCTAAAACTTTCGTCTCAATCATATTTTTGTTAGAATGAATAAATATTTTTTTATTAAAAACGGTTAAATATAAATTACATACATATTTACAGATAGATTATAGCTGAAATTTTATAGATTTTTATAATACATAAATAAAATTAGAAATTTATACTTGAAACATATGCCTGATAATTTAAACAGTATAAATAATTTAGAATTTCTAAAGTTTAAACCTAATAATAAAAAAAACTTTAAACTCTCAATTTTTTTACAAGTAAATTTGAAACAATTGATTTTTTTACCAACAATGTATAAAATATATCTTGTTATTTAATATATAATTTTAACAAAAAAATAATTATTTTTTGTGTAGAATTACTAGAAAAAATAAATTTGTAGTTAATTGTAATATATAAAATGTTTTGAACATTTGCCCAAACTTCAGTTTAGAAATATTTTACTTTGTATTTGTTGTAAAAAAACATTTTTCTGGTTTTAACTTGGGCAAAATCTCAATCGGTGTATTTTAATAACAATTTTTATTTTTTTCAAATAATTTTAATACTTTTCTTTAAATTTTATTTTGCTCATTGAAAATACTAAATTAAAATCTTTATACAAAATAATTAAATAGTTACAATAATTTATAATAACAAATCCAATCCATTAATTTGATCATTTTATAATAATTAATTTTATATTAATTAATCTATATAGTCGATTGGCGTATAATAAATAAATCAATGAATATATAAATAATTAGTAGTATATGTTTTTTGATAAATAATTTTCTTGTGAAATAAATAAAATTAAGTTGGCTGAAATCAATATTTCTAATATATATTGTTTTATATATTTTGCAGATAAAATTCATTCACAATACATATTTTTTTGCTTGTCATATTACTGCATCCATTTTCTGATAATTTATTACTCTCCAGAAACTCAAACTTCAACAAAATATATCAATAATAATTTTATATAACATCAGTAAATAAATTTAAAAATTCAATAAATCTCAACTATAAGTATAATATATAGATAGATAAATCTAATTAATTAATCTATTTTGTCACAAATTATACCATATATAAAAATAATTCACTATCAACACTTAGATCAAACATTGAAGAAAAATTTTGACAATGTACATATGTGTATTATTTAATATTTATTAAATATTAGGTATAATTTCTCAACTTAGTATTCATATTAGTACAATTTTTATTACAATTAAGAGGTAACGTTTAATATTTTTCTTAGTAATAATATATAGTAGGTAATCATACAATATTTTATACCACATTTGGACGAATAGTAATTCACAGTAGTCATTTTTGAGAAACTAATTTAAAAATATCACATTATGAAAATAATATAATTTAAAAAATAACACTTTGCAATATTGTTTTTTTTTTGTATAACGACTTCGTTATTTTTTTTTCAAATAAAATTAAAAATTTGATTTTATTTGTTTTGGATTTAATTGTTCGTCACAAATATCCAAATAGTTATCACATTTATTATTGTACATTTTTTATGGTTATTAAATCTTTCACATAATTACACATATCACAAAATCTTTCATTATCTTCCACTTTGTTTTTATTTCGACTAAATATTTACACTATTTTTTCAATCACTAACGCAGCATTTTACTTCTTTCTTTGTAAAATCTTTAACATTCATCTTTTCAACAATATTTAAATTATTTAGCTTATTTTTTTTATTATATTAAATTCGACTAGCAAACTTTTGCCAATGTTATGCTCACTACTATTAGTAACCTGGTTGTATGGGAGGTCAGAAGGGCAAAACCTCGGCCTCCGTGCTGCATTGCTGCGGGATTTTCACCTGCAACGGGAGGAAAATTAAACGACAAAAGATGCTTTGTAGAAGATTGACATTCAAATATTTATATTTGCATATATATATATATATATATATATATATATATATATATATAAATACATCCAACATAGTATTCAAAATTGATTGCAAAGATTGTGGTGCAATCTATGTAGGCGAATCAGGGCAGTATCTGAATATACGCCTAAAATAAAATTATAACGCCAAAAATTAGAATAATAATCAAACAATGATCGCCGATCATATAAAAAATTATAATCATAGTTTCTAGTTTAACATTGCTGCAGTTTTTTATCATGAGATAAATTTCTCTAAGAAACGCTTTGCAGAATCATGCTTCATTCAGATGTATAAAAATAGTATAAACAAGAGGGATGATACATCTTCTAAGCGTTTTTATTTCGACTTTTTGTAGAGTAAGTAATAGTAATCTAAAAAAATCGAGAATGAAAATTTTTGCGTGAATTTGCGGTTTAAATTCTTTTGAATATTTTGGTGTGTGTATGTTTGTAAGTGGGTATGTTTTGAACATTTTGGTGTGTGTATGTTTGTATACAAATTTTTGCCAACAATTTTGAGAGCACAAAGAGATTTATTAAAAAAAATTAAAAAAACAAACGCCATTTGGAGGTCAAAAGTGATTTGTAGACATCTGCGCATCGAATTATCAGATATTTTATAGAGATTTCAATATTGAGTACAAAATTTGTTTACATGCCTCTGGATTTTGCATCATATTCACAATGTTAAACCAATAAAAACTACGACAGAGCGCTTACGCGCTACTGTATTTTGTCTCTGAAACAGCTACATAGCAGGATCACTTTGAAGAAAATTTAGAATTATTAAATATTTCAAGATTTTCAAAACATTACAGGATTATCAGAAATGTTAAAAATATGAAACATTCAAACAAAATGAAATGTTCAAAAAAATATTTTTCAAAATTTTCAAAAAAAATTTAAGCTGTACGGGGACTTTACTTTAAGGCACGACTTCATGCACCACTAGTTTTTATATAGTTTATTACCTTAGTAGTAAGAGAAGGTAAATGCAAATGGAAAATAATTGCAATCTCTTTTCACGTTTGTTATCAATTGTCACGTATACAAAAATGTCGTTCATTCCCCTTATCAGTACATGCTGTATATAAAAACTTTCCTCTTCTATTAAAATAAAACTCTCTCAGACTATCAAAAAGGTGAACATAAAAAACGCCACGTCAAAAAACTTGCCGTTGTTTGGTATTTTAGCAGCGACTTTTTTATTATCTTATGATTCATTGGCTCTGCCCGCCACTCTTTCGTTCCGTAGATAACGCAATGCGTTTGACGCACGAAAAAAGCGCGTCGATTTCCTGCCGGCAGGTTTTTTTACGGCTGATTTAGAGGAAAAACTTCAAGTCCCGCGATGTGTCTATGTTTAGTATTTTATCAGGTTTTTCTAACATAACAATTTGGAAAAAAATGATACGCATTTACGGTGGGAAATGTGGGTTGTTAGAAGCAGAAAGGATTTTGGAATAGAAGATATATGGAGGTGTGAATTTTTATGCAAAATTTTTAGAATTGTTAACATAAATCAATTAATTACATAAATTCAACCTAAACTAGTGGTGTATGAAATAGTCCCGTACCGTAATGAAATATTCGAGGAATATTGAATGTTTTCAAATAGATTTTTATAAATGCTGTAACGTTTAGCATTCGTGTTTTAAAGACGAAATATATGAGTTTATGAATTGGAGAATGCCGTTTATATATGTATTAGAGAAAAGTAAACTTAATTAATAGGATTTAAAATAAAGGACATTGTCTAATTTTACTAAGTATTTTATAATATGAATTACCAAGTTAAAATTATTTGAAGTATATAAGTGAGCCTCTGGAACTTTAGCTAGAATTAATATTAAAATCCAAATTACTTCTGATATACATTTAAAATGGAAATTAAAAAGAAATCGACAAAAGCAATTGGAGCAGATTAGCTCCAAGTTAGATTAAGTATGTGACGATTTTATATACAAAAACAAAAAAGTGTACAAAAAATATCGATGTCTAATGAAATCATCTTTAAATTACATAAAGTATTGAAATTTTAATTAAACCTACTTAATTATTTTTGAAAATGCACTCCAGCAATCGTTTCGTCAACACAAGCAGAAAGTTTTTTGCATCATTTCAAATCGGATACTTTGTTTCCTCAAAAACTGTCATTATTTGCGCATTTAGTTCCGTATCTTCAAAACGGCCAAACTTGCCTTTGCCAAAAACTTAACCATCAATTCTCCCTATCATTACAAATTGAATGTTTTTTATATAATTCAAATATAATGCGCAGTTCTCACAAAAACTCGATTTCTAATTACTGCACTCTTTGCTCAAAATCTCTAAAGCGTTTGGACCTGCCTTTGTCAAAAACTAACCAGCACATCTCAATATCAAAAGGAATCTAATGTTTTTGAATCATTCAAATCGGTTGATCCGTGCGCCCGAAAACGTGAACAAAAAATGCTGTTCACATACACACACTTACATACTTTATTTTCAAATTTAGTCTCATTCGATTCTGTATGGCTTGAAACGTCGAGAAAACATAAAATTAGCGAATCGATTTTTTTTATGAAAACATATACTTCTCCTTCGGAAAGTTATTTATACATAAAATGAATTTAATTTTAATTTGTTTATGCAAATGATAAATTGTATTATATCAGAATATTAAAAGTAAATCGACTTTCGTAAAATAGATTAGTTTAGTCTTGTGCCAGTCGTGCAAGAAAATAAGTAACTGCGTACACATGCCATTAATAAAAGTCAGCGCATGCAAGAACTAGACAATGACAGATTTCTTAGATCCGATTCAGCAATTAGAACGACCTAGGGCCACCATCCACTTCCATTAATGCTACATTGGCCTTTTTTATTATTTTTCATTATTTTCCACGTCTGCAGCAATTAATGATTGTGCAGATTTTTTATTAGAACTACTGCTGCTGCTGCTGCAACTCTTCTATAAAATGGATTTGTAATTTAATTATGTAGAGCATTTAGTTGAAGAATTTTACAAAGTTGATTTTATCATTAAAGCACATATTAGAACTATGTATTTTTATGAGAGTTTTCGAATAGTTTTTGAGTAAATTTTAATTTATTCAAGTATAATGAATATTACTGAAACTGTTAGAAAAATTTTAGAAATATATTAAATTTATGACTGTACAGATTTTTTATCAGTAAAGAAAAGAAATTCGTTCGTTCAAAAAAATTTTCTTGTCGTAAAATTTGTATGTTTGATTAGTCTAAGTCGTCTCTATATTCTGATAATTCTATTCATTTATTTTAATTATTCTTTGACTTTTATTGACCAAACTTTTTACTATGAAAATAAAAATATATATGCAAACCTAGTTTTTGCTAAATACTTGACAATTATAATCTTTAGCAATCATTGTTCAAATTTAATCTATTTTATATAATTTTCAATGAGAGAAAACTATTATACTTGTAGATTTCATTATCTACAATTTTTTATATTAAAAGTATTTTATTATGCTTTTAATTACAAATACTATCATTATTTTAAAATTGTATATATATTTTAAATCAAATATTTATTTAATTTTTATATACACTTTATTTGTTGATTCATTTTTTAAATATAATGTTTCTTGATATTTCACAATCAAAATATTTAATATTCCTCATATTTATATGCGCAATTTCCTTGCACTTATTTTTGCAAATTTTTCTAACTTTTCTTCAATGTTTGTTGACATGTTTTCGTAATTTTTGACAACATTTTCTTTAAAATTTTAATGGCCTCTGTTTGTTCTTATTTTTAAAATTTTGGAAAATAATTAATACATATGCTCATATTTTTAATTTTTTAAATTTTCCATGAGTTTCCAATTTTTAATATCTCTTTGTTCAAATTTTTGAAGCTTCTGTTTTTTCTCATTTTTAATATTTTGAAAAATAGTGTATGCAAAGGCTCATATTTATTATTTTGAAAGTTTTACATAATATTTATTATTTAAGTTTTACATAATAATTAAAGTGTCAATTAAATTGGGTAAAAAACAGAAAAAGTGTTTATTCAGAAGCAATTAAAGTACGAAAATTAATTCCTAGATCAAATTGTAAACTATTTGCTAATAAATGAAATAGTCTCCATGCTCGTGCACATCGTTTTAATTTATTTTTGAAAATCAAAAGTTTCACTTGCTTTTTTTAATTTATTGAACATAGTTCGATATGTATGTGTGTTATATTTTATGATATAGTTAATTTGATAATTGCTCAAAGTCGAAAATAACTAATAGAATAATTTCTTAAATTCAAATAAGACCTTGTCCTAGATTAAAAACACTTAAAAAAAGCTATTTTAGTAGGTATAAATTAAATTATTAGTAACATTGATAGATATTGTTAGATTTCATAATTTCATTAACTAGAGCAAAAAAATTATTTTTTTACTTTAAATACTTTACTTTAAACAAAATTTCTCTCGCAAAGGATCAGGCGTCAAGGTCGCAAAAATCTCTCGCTAAATTTTTCCTCGCAGCAAAATCTTCTGCCGCGAATAAAAATGGTCACAAATTTATTTTAATCTGTCGCTTTATTTTATCATTCTCACACCGTCTTATAAGGGGGTGGGCGCTGTAAAGGATACGAAAAAGTGACATTGATTTATACGCGGATATATTTTTCGCGTAAGAGAACTCTGAGACTAGGCAAGAGCAGAGAGGAGCAGAGCAGAGCCCAGTAAAGTATTATGTTTGCCTGAAATATAAGAAGATAGAAACATCACTCCGAGAAAAAATCGCATATTTTACGCGCCCGTCTCGGGTAACGGAAAATGTAACTAGTGGGGCGCATGGCATCGTGCCTTAAGGCAAATTGCTGGAACTTCCCGTACCAGAAATTATTTTTTTTTAAAAAGACTAACATTTTTGAAAAAAATTTACTCTGATAAAATTGATT